TTATCCCTGAGCATTTTATGCTATGAGGCCATAATAGAAAATAAATATTTAATAATTTTTAAATGAATAATTATAAAAAATATATCAAGAAAAAATAGAATAATTTCTATTATGGACTCTTGGCATTATAAAGCACGGAATCAGACCTTTTGACCTGTAATAGTATTCCAAGCAAGACGTTTGATGTTTAAAAGTCGAGTAACCATATTACCAATCAGTGTTTGGCGTCAGTGTTGGCAGCAACGCATGGTTATTTGGAATAGACGTGCACGTGAAAAGAATTTCACTACTGAAAAGTTCTGCTTACGTTGCGTTCATCTCTTGAACACTAGACTAGAATAGCATCGCCACACTAAAAAACTTGAAGGCATCCTAGTAGTTTATTCCATGCGTTAGTCGTCCGCGTACTTGTAGATTGCGCGTGCTAGGCCGTAAAGCTAATTCATAAATCTGCGTGCTCTCCACGGATCGTCACTCTATCCTCGCACGCGTCGTGCGTCAACACGCATACACGCGCCGAGCTCGATTGTAGTTAATACTTCAATAATCGCATCGTAACGCACTCGACACTATTTCCACAATCATCTCGCACCGCCCCAGGAGAGCCGTTTAGCCTGCGTCGCGCGCTATATACGGCAGCGAAGCGGTGGAGGCGGCATTAAGGCTCTGCTGGGAGGCTGCGACATTAGAAGTGGGGGTGGGTCGGGGTTCAACCACCTGCTTCTGATGCTTTGTTTTAGTTTCTTTCCTGTGATATTCGTGGTCGATGCTGGCGCTTTTTTTAGGGTTCACTCTAGTGTTAGTTTAGTAGAGTGATTAGTAATAGATTAGTAGTAGTAGTGCTAGTACAAAGTAAGAAGTAATATGGTTTCTTTTTATACTAATTCGATAGGTGCGCTGTGGTAGTTACCGTTGATCTATACGTCCGAAGCATATCGTCAGTTAACGAAATATGCTATGGTAAGTGGCTGCCCGTAAAGATGACGATGTAATAATATAGTAATGATAATAATAATAATAATAATAATAATAATAATAATAATAATAAACAATTCGTTGTGGCCATTTGTAATCACCGTGGGGAAGTTTTCCCGGGATTCAGTCACATTCGTAAATTTAGGCTAATCTCCTAAAGCAACCACATAAGCCAATAAGATCTTGGAAGTCACAAGAGACACCGTGGACACTAGTGGAGTGTAGTCGCCGAACTATAAGATCCAGTTACAACTTGTTAAACACGGGTTGTCACTCGCAGATCACTCGGCAATGATCGTGTATGTTCGGTAGATGTCAAAGACATACGGGGCTCTGTTGGTGTCAGCACTAACAATACACGGTTAATTGCACTCTCTCTCTCTCATCGGTATAATGGCTTCCGACGTCATTGTTGGCTTTCCTGCTATTGTGAGAAATACTAAACAGCGTGCACTACTTTAATTAAGTTGATGGTACTCTAACGAATCTCGTGTTTTTATCCCGTTATATTTTGTTCCACACTATATTTCTAGCATATTAGCATAATTAGCATGGAGGGTTATAAGCCCATGGATAACGTGCCAAGGACTTCCGAAGGGCATGCCGTCTGTCCTCTCGTTGAAAACGCAGCCCTTGGTGCCATAGTGCGCATGAGCAGGAAAGAGATAATAGGCTGCCTACTTTATACTGGTTTTATTCCTATACACAGTATAGTTCATCGCGAACCTTATAGCTTAATGGCATCGAGAAATAAGCAAACCGAATCACCTCGCGGATACAGGAGTGTATGCACGGCCCTGTGCTTTAATTTATGCATGACTTCAAACCTTACTTTGTGTTAGAAAAATACTTGAAGAAAAAATCAAGTAAGCTAGATGGTACCATCTATATCTGTATATATAGCATCTATTCGAGTAAAGATACAGGCGAGTAAAGACATAGTCTGCCTCCGTAGCTCGTTGAGAACTAACGCTATAACGGCAGCCGGGAATTCGCAACCAGTCTATAACCTATCTAACCTCCCCTGTCCCCCTTCGGCAGCAATTCGACACAGATCTGGTGGTGCGGCAGCGTTGGTCCGACCCTAGCATGGAGTACACGATGCCGACGTCTTACGACCAAGAGTACATCTCCGGCGACGACGAGATGGCGTCGCACATCTGGCGCTCGGACATGTTTCTCGCTAACTCTAAGCGCGCCTACACGCACCTCATCACGCAGCCGAACACGCTGTTGTGGCTCTACCCGAATGGCACGGTCATGTGCAACGTTAGGTACGAGCGCAGTTACTCACACACTCCCCACTCGCTATATCGTCGCACGGGGTAGTCCTGCGGGCTTCAGTGTAGGTATAGATATAGTGTGGAGGTTAGTCTTTTGGTTGTAGTATAGATAGATATAGTCAAGAGCTAATAATACTTAATAAGGTATAATAAGGTAAATAATACCGAATAAGGTATTATTAGCTCGTGATATAGTATATATAGGTTATCGTACTATCGGTTATAATATAGTTGCTGATACAGTATAGAGGCTAGTCTTTTGGTTATAGATATGGATATGAATATGGATATGGATATGGATATGGATATGGATATGGATATGGATATATATGTATATAGATATAGATATAGATATAGATATAGATATAGATATAGATATAGATATAGCGATTAGATATAGATATAGATATTAGATATAGAGAATAGTATAGATATATACAAGATACAATAAAGAGATTAGACTTATAGGTTTAGCATAATTTAGATATATAGTATAGCGAGATTAGTACTATAGCAATAGTGTATAATGTTTTGTATAATATGTATATGGACTATTATGTAGGGCTGAGAATAAAGCGTGCAGGGGCTTTTAACGAGCTGTGCCACGAATGTTTACGAGGTGCATGTCCCTAAAATTCGTTTTAAATTCGTAAGTACGTTTTAGAAATCCTATCTGATGAACATAAATTATATATACATACATTTATGGTTTTATTATTGACACGTTATTCGCGGTTCAAAGTACGGGTAATAGTTTTCGACAATAGCCTGCTATTTACGGTGATGTAGTCATTTCAGTGGATCGTGAATCAGAGCCGCGCGTGTTATATGACTCGATTCAGGTGTTCCGCCTTAGAAGTACGTTGGGCGCAATACATGCGGTTACGCGATAGTAGGTAGCTCCTATGCGTTCATCTAGCTTTGGCCATAATATCATAATTCATAACCTAATTTGCTATAATAGCAAATTAGGTTATGAAGAAATGAGGCGTGTGAAATGGGCAAATAAGGTGACAAGGCAGTTTGCGCAAACCCCAATTATCTGGATACGCTCACTTCTACTTAATTGAATCGCCACAGCCCTTCTTCAATGAAGAAATTTTACGACCCTTTTAAACAAAACATTACAAAGATTTACTCTATTGCGACAGGATAAAAATTTTCCTTTTAAGCATAATTCAAAATTTATCTAAACACTACGCACTCTAATTTATGCTCTCGTGCTATCATTCATATCATCTCAATATTCTTTCTCGTGGTATATACCTCATTACACGCTTATACCCGTTTACCTGTTTTAGTTATCATAATAAGGATTTTATATGAATGCGTATTGTTTGTTTACCTTTTACTCGGGCAGAGGACAGCGGACCAGGTTGCTTATTCGTCCTAGTAAGATAATAATATCAGGAGTGAATAATAATCTATTATTTATTCACTCCTGATAATAATCAAACATTAGGCGTAATAATGAAAGCATGGCTATAGTTATAACAGGGGCGGGTCTATGTTTTTTAAGCCGCGCACGTGCAAACAATTGATATTTTCATTGCGTATTGTATATCTAGCTGTTCTTTTTTTCTGCAGGATCTCCTCTACGTTTATGTGTCAGATGAAATTGGAGACTTTTCCATTCGACACGCAGTACTGTGAGATTCAAATTCGTGAAGCTGTAAGTAGCGTAAAAGCTTCTAGCGAGTTTTAGAGGTGACCAGAGAAAGAGAGGCGTAGAGAGAGCGAGCAAGTGCGTCAGATAGAGAGAGCGGCGCGAGAGAGATAGAGAGGACAGAAGAAGAGAAGCCGAGAGCGATAGAATGATGACAGGGAAAGACAAGCGACGTATTACCGCACGTCGTATGCTAGCTGCTGCTGCTATTTGCGCCCGTCGCTGCTGCTGCCGTGACGAGAGAGATAGAGGGGACAGAAAAGAATAGCGAGAGAGATAGAGGTGAGACCAGGAAAAGAGAGCGAGAGCGCGCGCGAAGAAGAGCAGAGAGAGAGAGAGAGAGAGAGAGAGAGAGGAAGAGAAAGAGAGAGGAAAGCGAGAGAGAGAGAGAAGGAAGAAAGAGAGAGAGAGAGGAGAAGCTTTCCGATCGGATAAACGTAGAAGAACCGTAGCATTGTTGAAGTAGTAATAATTCATTGCAAATTGATTTTTTGTTTAGGGGTTGGTTAATGTTAGCTGAGAGAGCGCGGATGAAAGAGAGTAGAGGAGATGCTAATTATAACGACTGCGGGTTGATCGACGTTAATACAGTCCACGTAAACATGCGGAGGCGTCGGTTTTCTTCCGTTTCATGCGGTGCGTTTTTTTTAAGTTATCGATTAATGGGTTATATGCGCGACCCGCACATTCATCCCAAGCCGCATAACTGCGTTTCTGTGTTATTCACGCGCGGTAAACTATTGTCGTCAGCGTATTACCGCGGTCGTATACACTTGCTGCTGCTGTTGCCGTCGCTGCGCTGCCGTCGCTGATGCGGCCATCGCTGTTTGGCTTGCCTGCTAGTGCTGCTGCTGCTGCTGCCGTCGTCTGCTGCTGCGTAGTGCTGCTGGCGCGCTGGGCTGCTACGTTGTGCTGCCAGTGTTCGCGCTTTGATGTGGCCTGCTTGGTACACTTACCCCATGGTATATACTGTTCTACGCCCATCGGTGAGCTGCCGTGTGTCGTTACCAGTCGGAAAAACCCCACAAACCGGCAATGGACATTCCATGTTCGTGTGGAAGGAACCGATGATCCGATTGACGTCAACAGAAAGATTCAACTTCCGCGCAGGTACAAGTGCCTGAAGCGGAAACCCATACACGTGCTCAACTCCTCAGCTGAGCGGTACCGATGACGCGGCACGCAGCCTAAGACGATAGCTCAGATGGATAACATACTGTTATATAATGATGGACTGATGATATTCTATAATAGTCGTTCATTCGATCGAACGATAAAATTTCTTGCCTTTGCCTAGCATCGTTAGAGAAGTTGTGGTGATAGAAAAATATGGCGGTGGTAAATAAAAGATAAGCGGTGGAGATTAAATTTTTGGCTGCGGTAGATATATAGATGGCGGCGGTGCGAGAGATGGGTCTAATGATTCGTCTGTCAACACTGGATTTGCTGTTCTGGTCCTCATCAACAGTCTAACGCAGCGTCGATAGCATACGTCCAATGCGGTCATCGTCACAACTCTACTCATAACTACATTCCTGTAGCTATGCCTAGTCCTGTAGGTGCTCTGATCGTTAATAATGCTCTACCTTTACTCTCTATAAAACCCTCTGCGGCTCTACCCTAACCCATAATCAACTACTTACTCATTACTTGTAGTCCTTATTCCTGTACTTGCGCCGCCTCTCTATTATTACACTACGTTTGACTTAGCTCTACGCTCTACGCTTCTACTCTGTACGCTTACTCTATCCCTTTTTTCTCCTTCTATATACTTCTACTCTACCCTTGTGCTGTACTCTCACTCTAACCTCTTTTCCTGCCTTCTACTCTACCTCTACTTCTTGCTGTATCCTTTATTTTAGGCGACTGGTACGTTCTACGTCTTTACCTTCTTTCTCTCTAATGTCTATTGCTTCTATCCTCTGGCTTCTACATGGTAACTAACGTTCTCGTCCGCGGTTTTTCTGTTGACGTCGTACAGGTACTTCAGGCTGTCTTGAAAGCTGCAGTTTAAGTTCGACGCGTGAGTTCGCTACCACATGTCGCAG